GCAGTATTGCAGTGTGCAATGATACCTTTCTTATTGGACTAACAAAATATATAAAAGACAAGCTTTCGAGAGTGAACCTCTCTTCTTCAGTAATTCAGTATTGCTTCTGACCTGAAGAAGAGAGGTTCACTCTCGAAAGCTTGTCTTGTATATATTTTGTTAGTCCAATAAGAAAGGTATCATTGCACACTGCAATACTGCGTTTTTGTCTTTTTTGACTATATATATATATATATTACATTGAACATTTTGGAGTATCTACCAAATGTTCAGTAGATACCATCAAAGAGTATCTAAACCCCAAAAAACATTTTAGTTTACCAGTCCTTAGATGTGGTGGCTGCATTAGTTTCTGGTTTTGAAGATTTATTTCTTCCTGATGATTCTTCCAGTAACACATGTCCTGTCCTAAGGTGACACCGCTCAATCACCCTACTGTATCTATGGAGGAACAGCATTGTCACCTTAGACTGCTCTGTTGATTTGGACTACAAACACCTCCGCTCCTCATATCTATTACATAAGGACAAGAGGTTAATGTATTTCACAGAAGGTTGTGGGAAGGCTGAATGCATTGAAATTTCAGTTCAGTACTTATGAACACAAGGAATTAAAAGTGCATGGAATTTTTGTTAGGATCAGTAAGCATTTTCCTGTACTTGCAAACTGATGCAACCCCCGCATCTAAGGACTTGTAAGCTGCAAAGACAAGTACACTAATTTAAACTAAAAGTGCCACGTCGAAGTAAAAACAAAAACATGTAGTGCTTCTCTCCAATACATGTACATTTTCAACTGTTTTATCTCGTTTGAAAATACTGCAAATAGAGAAAAGTACGTTTGATCTGCCAAAAATGTACTCCGCTACTAAATCCTGCTGTGGGAATACTGAAATGATGTCAGCCCTGCCCAGCTGTCTTTGCTAAACTACTCAAACTGTCTCTCTATACTATTCTCCACAACATAGAAATGAATCATTCTGTAGTTTCAAGATAACAACTTGGAGGGCTGATTGGATGTCTAAAGGGAACACAGGCAGGGTGTACAGGAAGCAGGACCGCTCTAAATTTCTGACATGAACAACCGGTATTGTTATTTTGCACTTATTGAACAGATATAACAATTATTACAAAACTCTTCCAATGGAATATCTAACAAAGCAAAAGGGAGCAAATAATTGCAGCCTATTGTGGCTTACATACACTTTAACAAAGCGGCCACTGTGTTTTATATTAAGTTGCTTCTTCCTAGGCACTATAAATGAATACTTCTTAAATTCTAGGAGGTTACTTGTCCACAAGTGCATTCCCTTCCGTGCGGCAACTATGTATGTTGTATGCATTCAATTAGAGCTGCAGCTAACGATTATTTTCAAAATCGATTAGTTAGCCGATTATTAAGTTCGATTAATCGATTAATCGGATAAACAATAAAAAAGGTTTTAAAAAATGGCTCCAGTGATGGGACTACTAGTTTGTATTGAGATTGTAGTCCATCACAAGAGCAAGCTTGGAGCGGTGGAAGTAAAAAAGAAAAGAAAAAAAAGTGTGGTGTGCAATATAGTGAAATGGAAAGTGTAAAATTATACAGCAATGAATGCAGAATGGCACCAGCTATAGAGGACTACAAATCCCAGCAATAGTACATTATACAGCGCAATGCAGAATATCACCAGCTATAGAGGAGCACAACAAATCCTTATAGCTGGTGGTATTCTGCATTGCGCTGTATAATGTACTGTTGCTGGGTTTTGTAGTCCTCTATAGCCAGTGGTATTCGGCAGTGCACCACTGTATAATGTATTATTGCTGGGATTTGTAGTGCTCCTCTATAGCTGGTGGAATTCCACATGGCGCTGTATAATGTATTATTGCTGGGATTTGTAGTCCTCTATACAGCGCAGTGCAGAATATCACCAACTATAGAGGAGTACAACAAATCCCAGCAATACATTATACATACAGTGTATAATGTATTGCTGGGATTTGTATTCCTATGTATAATATACAGCACAATGTACCATCAGCTATAGAGGAATACAAATCCCAGCAATACATTATAGAGCACCATGTGTGGAAAAGTGCACGCTTACCTGAGCAGTCTTCCAGCAACTTGCTTCTGAGATCGGGCCTGTCTATCTGCCGCTGTCATCCCCCCACACCTGCTCCTCCTTACTACATCTCCCTGCGTCCCTGTGCCGATCTTGGATGCGGGCGGGCGGTGAGGCGGGAAGGAGGTGCGGCGTGTAGAGCGTGGATGCCGGCGGGCGGATCTGGCAGCGGTGAGCGTGAGTTGGGGCGCGCAGCGTGTGTGGAGCCGTGAACAGGGCCAACTGATCGGAAGCCGATTAATCGATTATTGAAAAAGTTGACAACTTTTTCAATAATCGATTATAATCGATTATGTCGATTAGTTGTTGCAGCCCTACATTCAATACAAAAACTGGAAAATGTTAAGTTATAAAAATGAGAAAATTATGGAAAACACTAAACTCATTTTTATGTATCATAATTTTTTTTAACCATTTTCGCTCTATGGCTTTATAGTGCATGAAGGCATTACTGAGGCCATATGCTGCTTTTAAATTTATCACACATCTTCCGATATTTTAGCATCTCCTTACCTGTCGCAGTTTGTCCATCAATGTCCTGAACCATAGAATTGCAGAGTGAAAGGGTTCTGCTGCAGTTGAGGATGTGCTTAGGTACTTGCAGCCCCCTACCAGTTACAAGGATAGACTGATACTGTACAAGACATAGAGCAATACCTATAGCAAACAGTTCAATCCACCGCCTGCTGGACAGACACCAATAAAATATTAATTCTTATGGGTTCTTTAGGATTACTGTCCTTTTTTAAGCTTTGCACTTTGCTTCTTGCATGATTTCATAAATACGCTTGATTGGGTGGAATGTGTTCTACTGCTTACTATCATGAGAACAAGTCCTAACAATGCTGTACCACTGGCATATTGTGACACTAAGGCTGTATTTGCTTCCGCAAAATGTAGAATCACAAATCAAAATGCTGACCCCTAGTGGGAGTTGCCTGGGCAAATAAGGCCTGGACTACTACACCTTAAAGTAATCTTAAAGCATATGTCAAGGCAAAATTGAAAACCCTTCCCTTTCAACAAAAGCCTAAAATTTTTACCATTTACCTATTTGTTTTGTTGTTGTTGTTTTTTTTCCCTGTTTCATTCTCCTCCTGCAGTTTCATGGGATACCCATGTCATATATCGGAGGAGGCTGCAGGAGGAGAATCCTTTCCCTCCATGTAGACCTCACGCAGATATCGCACATGTACAGACAGAGATCTGGTGGCAGGTTTAATTACATACTGTTCTATGAAGGAAGGATAATTGTGCCTCCTGGGATATGTCTCACATTAATATTCATTCATAGAACAGTATGTAAATAGACCAGCGTGAGATCTGGTGCTGCATCATTTTTTTGGCCGGCTGAAGAACCAGGAAGAGAAAGCCAACTTTCTGTGACATCACCAAGCAAGATGGCTGCGTGGGACATGACGTGGGAGGACAGCAGAGAAAGAGGAGATTGAGTAGACAGGCAAATGCAGCATGCTTCCAGGTGCTTTCCACTTGCTTTTGAGATGCTTTTGAGGTCCTTATGACCTGACCTTCTTGTGACCCCCTTCTTGGCTGTTTTCATCTGCATTTGGATTCCAATTGACTTCTAAAATACATAAAATTACTGCGTACAAAAGATCCTTAGCTGGTAGTAGAGTTGAGTTATTTGATTGCGTTAGGTGACACAAATTTGTACTACAGTTCCACTTACCAGACCTAAGATTGGGACTGCTTACTGCTGAAAAAGATTCACAGGAATGCTTTGAGTTCACAGGGCCAAGTGCCTTTCCATATTGATAATGTAATTAAATCGCACCTCTTGATATGTTAGCCTTTAAAATAGCACTCCAACATCCTTTTTTGCAGTTTTGTTTTATTGGTATATCATGTTTTTAAAATTGTTTAAAAAAACCATTCTACCAGTATAAATATATATTTTCTTGATGCAAGCTTTGCAATATTTGCCACTCTTTAAAATTGTTTACTTATGTTTATAGTTATCTGACCATGAGAAAATGTTGCTTTTTGTTCCTTTTTTATAGATAATGATTTACCTTATAGACAAAGTGCTGCCGGAGAGTTACTTTGTCAATAATCTGCGAGCGCTTTCCGTGGATATGGCTGTATTTAGGGATCTCTTGAGAATGAAGCTACCGGAACTATTTCACCACTTGGATGTGCTTCAGAAAACCGCAAACAAGGAGAGTGGCGGTATGTGGACTTATCAGATATACAATTTGTTTTATTATAAGGGACTACCCTGCAACAGTCTTCATCTTTTCTATTTTTTTTTATTAGCGGGTACTTTTTATTTGAAGCCTGCTTCCTTTTAAAGCACTTGAAGTTCATGTCTTAATGTCTCGCTGATATTTCTGGCTTGTTGAAGTCATTTGCTTGAATTGCACGAAAGATTTTTAGAGTTAATTAGTGATAAAAAAACTGTTTGTGCATCAATGAAGTATGATTGTTAGGAAGAAATAAAATACAAAGCCAGCAGCTGCTTCAAAATAGAATTTTGATAATGGTTTTAGGGATTATTATGCAAGTTCTCTATACAACAGCAGTCTGTGGATATGCTATTTAAGCCTAGACTCACGCACTTACTGTACATACTGTGTTTATCATTATACAGCCCCAATAATTTTAGGGCTTGTATAGATGGGAATGGTTGTCAAATACTGCATTTTGCAAAACACAACAAAAAGCTAAAAACTACCTTCGCCTGCAATGTAAATGCATCTCAATATTAGATGCTGCTTCCAAAGGAATGCAATGCAAAGCAAGTCAAATGCAGCCACACAACTGCTATCCGCACTGCACCTTTTGGGGTAAATAGGAATGAGCTGATCTGCATTTGACTTGCATGTCAAACCCAGAAAAACAAAGTCTGTGTACACAAGTACTTAGGCTGCCAGTAGACCTTAGAACAGGGGTGGGCAAACTCCATCCCTCCAGCTGTTGTAGAACTACGTTCCCATGAGGCATTGCAAGATTCTTACAGGCACAGACTGACTTCCAGAGACAGATGCAACATGGGATTTGTACTTTTCCCCACAGCTGGCGGGCCAGAGATTACCTGCCCCTGCCTTAGAGGCACAATCTGACTTCCTTCAAAACAATTCCATTGTGGGGCAGCAGGGAAGGCTTGGGGTCCCACAGACATGAGATCCTCTCCTAATCTGGCCACTGGGTAGATCCAAAAGGTTTACAATTTTTTTGTTTTCTAAATGTAAAGTTGACTTCTACAGGTAACAAACTGTAATCATATGTCATCAAATTATAATGGACAACTACTTTGCATTTTGTGAATGGAAAAGCTTAAAAGCAAATAAAATATAATGCTTGGAAAGTCAGTACTTAAAGTAGAACTGAAGCCAAGACTTTTTTTTTTAGTTTTGGATAGAGTAAAGGTGCCCATACACCTTACAATTATCGTTCGAAAAACGAATGGGATCTGTTTTCCATACGATAATCGGCCAGTTGATGGGAAGTGCATGATTGCAATTACTGTACAACTGGTCGAATTTGGTTCAACGGGCAGACTAGAAAACTTTCATCAAAACGGACGAAAATCGATGGACTGGTGGCGTTTTTGTACAACAAAAATCGCAGCATGAACACTGCACATGCACAACCGAAAATCTGTTCTGTCGATCAATGAAATTCGGCCAGTTAGTGTTGCTGACAAACGATTATCGAAATCTACATTGGTCTGTGCATGATGAGCCATTTGTGCAGAAATTGAACAAGGGTGGAATGACGGGACAAATAAAATTGAATGATAATTGTAAGGTGTATGGGCATCTTTAGGGAGGTTTATAATTATGATCGCTGATTGTTTTTAAATAATTGAGGACATAGTATGTTTACTGTGTCCCCAATTATGAATGAATGGGAAGTGATCTACTTCACTTCCTGTTCACCGAATTGTCAGCTGCCAAAACATATTGGCCGAAAATGGCATTTTTGGCAAAATGCTGAGAAGTACCAGCGTTTGGCCGAAATTGCGGTGCATCCCTGGTTTCTCTTCTCCCCACTGGGCGCTGCTCTGTGTCCCCTCTTACACAGCGTCCAGTGGGGAGGAGAGAAGCGTTCAGGCGGCCAAGCGGGGAAGAGAGCGCTGTGTGCCTCATGATGTCTCAGGAAGCTGAGCTCTCCTCCCACACCGCCCTGCTCAGCCTCCTGTCATCGACCAGGAGAGCGGTGTGTGGGCGGAGACAGCTGTTAGAGCTGTCACTGGAAGCCAAGCTCTCCTCACACACCGCCCCGCTCAACCTCCTGTGATAGATCAGGAGATGGGTGTGGGGTGATCTACATCACTTCCTGTTCATTCAGGATTGTGGATATAGTAAACATACAATCTCCACAAGTTATAAATGAACAGAAACACTCAGTATGGAGGGTTCCTGTTCATTCATAACAGGGACTGCAGAAAAAGAGATTGAGGACTCTGTGTTCTCAATCTCTTTTTTTTCTATTTTAAAAGAGTCCACCCAAAAGTAAAGTAAAAAAAATATAATGTATTTATTAAAAAATAAAATGTAAAAATAAATTTACAATTAAATATTTTTTTTAAAAATTAAAGGGTTGGGAAAAAAAAAATTCGGTTTTGGACTGACAATTTTTTTAGTTAAAAATTTCATTTCAGTGCACTTTTTGTTATAATACCTATCAGACTTTTTTTTGCCATCTGTGAAGATTGTTCTTTATTTCATGTCCGATAGCTACAACAGGTCTGCACAAATTCAGAGCTGATTTGAGGATCTACATCTGAGTGATACACAAATAAGATACATTTTTGTTAATAGTTAACGTACTGGAATGCATTAAGAATTAACTCCTGAGTTTAGTGTCACTTGAAGGTTGATCACTGCTGAGGTTTTGAATCAACAAAACATTTAATATGACCAAATATGACTTTAAGTATGCATGTTTTTCTTGACACAGGTGTTAAAGAATATAGATAAGTTAAGAAGACATTAAAGGGTTTCTAAACCCTCTGCTAGCAAGCAGTAGATATATGCAAAAAGTAAAAAAACCCACAAATCTTTAAAAGCGGTTTAAACTTACGGCTGTCTTCGCCGCACGCTCGCGTCCCAAAATCCGAAACTGCACGGGCGGCCGCAAAGCATCTTGGGGCAGGCGCATGCGCAGTTCGGATATTCGGCCGGGAGACGAGGAGAGACACAAGGTAAGTCTAAGGACACGTGGACTCGCATGCAGATACCGTGGGACAGGAAGTGCCAGCAAGGATAGAGGAGTCGGCGCTGGATCGGAGACCCGCAGCAGCGCTGGAGAGAAGGCTGAAAAGGACAGGAAAGAAGAGATAGATCGGATTAAGAGACATCATTTAAGGTAAGTGTTGTATTTAACATTGGGGGGAGGGGAACATTTTTTGACTTTAATGTCACTTTAAGCAAAAATTGTTTAATTTTTAAAAATCTTAAATTCTTTATTTGTACCTTGCAGGTGGTTATGAACCCCCACTTACTAATGTCTTCACTATGCAATGGTTCTTGACTCTGTTTGCAACATGTCTTCCTAATCACACGGTTCTGAAGATCTGGGACTCTGTGTTCTTCGAGGGTTCAGAGATCATTCTAAGGGTCGCGCTGGCAATTTGGGCAAAGCTGGGAGAGTAAGTATGGCTCGATATGAAAATAATGAAAGCATTAAAATTGGGGTTTCTTTTGATCTTCCATTGAAAATATGTTAACCAATGTACCTGACGCAGTTTAAAATGTGTTTATTGTGACCAAAACATAAAAATGTTTTTTTATGAAAGATTTTTTTTTTCTCCAGGTTCTTTATAGTTCTTGGTTAAATGTGTATAGTTCTTGGTTAAATGTGTATAGTAGTATAATGACAGTTGGAAATTTAACAGGGCTATTTACAAAAGGGTGAAGAGTTTGGAGAAGGCAGGAGAAGTGAACAATCTATGACAACATAGCTGATTCGGTGACCTAGCTGTAATGCTGTACTGCTTTAGTGAAACGTGAAGTTGTCAACCTGGCTGCTCTGTCTGGCAGGACTGTCTAAAATCTAGGACTGGATAGAAAGGATTAAATATACTTTGACAGAAAAAAAACTCCCATATATGTATTTCAGTGCTAGTTCTAGCTGCTTGCCAGAAGTTCAGTGTTAATGTTTATATAACTGGCTGAACTCTTTAAAAGAAACCTGCTAATTGCATAACAAGGCAATTGTGTCTGTGTTACAGGCAGATTGAATGTTGTCAGAATGCAGATGAATTTTACAGCGTGATGGGCAAATTGACACAGGAAATGCTGGAAGACAATCTGATAGAGAGCCATGAACTGATGCAGGTGAGTAATCTATGAGCCTTGTATGTACTTTTTTCCTTTCTGATGTTCCACTTCACAGTTTTGTGCCCCAAATCGGTGATATTTCTTTGCAACAGACACCCACAAATTTCTGGCTCCTTTGCTGCTTTTCTTAAGAAATGGGTGAGCCAGTATGCAGAGGGCATGAGCCCTTTGGGAACACAATGTAGAGTCATCACCTGTATATAGGTATTGCATTTTCGGAGCCTACCTTAAAGGATAATATCATCAAAATAGTGGCAGACTACCACGCTACTAGAAACTGTTGAGAACGTAAACACATTGGTCAGGAGTATGTAATGTACTGTGCAGCTAGAGTGCAGGGGTCAGGACTATGTAGCATACAACATTACTGTGTAGAATGCAGCAATCTGGACTATAACAAATAACAGTGTAGAAAGTGCAGTGGACAAGAGTAAGTAATTTACAGAACACCATACAGAGTGATGTGCTCACAAGTAAGTCATGTACAACATAGTTTATAGAACGCAGCATTCAGGAATATGTAACATACAACATGGTGTATACAGTTCATCAGTTAGAAACGGCATAGTGCATTTGGTGCAGGGGAGAGTTTATGAAATGTACAGCAAAGCATAAAGAGTGCAGTGGTCAGAATTATGCAACATACAGGGACAGAGTATGTTGCGTACAAGATAGCATATCAAGTACATGTTTCAGGAGTAAGTAATATACAACACAGTGTATAGACTGCAGTTGTAAGTACTGTGTAATGTACTGCCCTTACAATTGCCACTCAGTTGGAGGAAGAATGCCCAGGTGTCAGTGGAAGTAAAAAAAAATGTCCCGATGTAAATAGTCAGTCATTCGCCCCAGAATCTATGGTGTCAGTGAGAGGGAATAGTGCCCTAGCATCTGTAGTCCATGGGACTGCCACTCTGCAGGCAGAGGCTTGAATGTGCACCGAGAAGGCCCTGGTTGTGGGGCCTCCTTATTGCAGGGGGCAGCTAACTGATAAATTTGCTCTTCATCGAGCCTTGTGTGAGGGTACTTGGGTGCATCAGAGGATTCTCCAGTCCTCCACTGGTCCAGACCTACACATCATCTCGGCAAACGTATTCGGTTCCTTGTGCCTTAATAAATAGTAACCAGAGGGAGCAAAGGGTACTCAAAATAATTATTTGATCTGGTAATGCTGATGTGATATCTAACAAAGTGGTATATCATGTACACACCGTATGGTTTTTATCTTCCTTTCATACACAGGATTTTAGGTGAACACATGTGCTTCTGCTTTAACCTGTTCAGTGAATGCAGTGGTACATGGTATAACCTCTGAAAATGACCTTCTGCTTTGCCCATGCAGTACAAAGCAACAGGTTACCATCTTACCCAATGTGTAACCTATGAGTTGCAAGAGTCATAGCTTACACAGGACTATGGACTCCCTGTGTGACAGCTCTGACTTATTGCTGTCACATTAAGTGAGTGACATGTTTCTCCATATACAGGTTTTGGGAGGTTGGGGGGGCTCTTGGTGGTGAATGGAGAAGTAGGGGAGTGACGTTTATGCTGGGCTTTTATGCGAGATTAAAGCAAACTTGTTGCTTTACCCGCAACTGACAAGGCACATGTTTTCTGTAAGGCAGAACCTCAGGCAGATAGATAAATGCACAGTTAATATCCAAATCACACGGCAGACAAAACAGTAAACAAGATGTAATTCTTTATAGAAAGTCTTTTGATTTACAAACCTCTTTCACACTACATAGCCAGGATGATCACTCTACTACTTCTTGGTTCAGTTTACTGGCTCCACTTCACTTCACTTTAAGATTTTCTTTATCCATAATATTTCTGGATATATGTTAATACTTGAGCTCCTTTGTGGGTGATAACGTGCCTACTATTCTTAAAGAAGAACTTTGGGGAAAAAATGCTTAACCCCTGCAGTGGGGCTACCCCCGCACACTGCAAGGATTAAGTGCTCTTTTGTGTTGAGGTTAAAGGAGAACTATGAGGTGAGTGATTTCCACTCATCCTCATAGTTGGAGCCGACTTCTGACATTGAAACTGTCACACGTCGGCTCTATTGATCGGGAAGTGAGCAAACACATACTGTCACTCTCTTACTTCCCGATCATCTTCCTGCAGAGAGCGGTGACTGTCAGTCAACGCTCCCCACAGGGAACCCTCTCCGATCCTCCAGCGCTGACTGGAGGAACGGACAGTGGAGGCGGCAGGCACAGCTGGCTCTGCCTCTAGATAGGCTGAGCCCGCTGTCAATCAGCCAGCTGGGTGGATCTTGATAGTATTGTTGGGATCCGTCCCGGCTGCGGCGCTGTCAGGCTATAGCCCGCTATATACTGAGTTTTGGGTCATGGAAGGAGAATAGTATATGTCCTTCCGTAACCCTAAAGAGAACTATGGGGTAAAAAGTTTACCCCATAGTTCTCTTTTAAGAAAAAGAAAATTCTACTCGCCCCAACCTCGGACCTGGCTGGCTGTTACAGCACTCCTCTAGCCTGGCTCCTCCTATGCAGCGATGGTATGTCCCTCAGCATACTCGCATCCTATACACTGTATGGAATGCAATGACTCGAGGATTCTTAGACCACTAGAGGCCAGCTTGCTGTGTGGATCAGGTGAGTATAATTTTTTTTTTGCTTCAGATAGACAGCATTTGGTAATTTTCTGCTGGAATATAAGTGTGTTTGTGTATGTTAATTGTAAAAAAAAAAAAAAAAAATATTTGTGTGTAATTTTCATTTTAGTAATATTTGTCTCTGCTTTCTCTAGACTGTTTACTCCATGGCTCCTTTCCCATTTCCACAACTTGCAGAGCTGAGAGAGAAGTACACCTATAACATCACTCCTTTCCCAGCACCTGTTAAGTCTGCTTCGTTCTCTGGGTGCGTAGTTATGACATTTATGCTTCACAGATTGTAGATCTCAAACCAATCATGGCAGTAGCGGATATGGAAAGGTTAAGTGTGTGATATGTTCTTGATGAACCGGCTGAAATTCGTGGGTGGCCCTCTTCAGACCGGCATTCTTCGATCAAAAAATTGAAGGACCTAGTTGTAAAATTTTAAGGCAAACAGTGACAGCCAGTTATCTGCTATCGCTGTTCAGGTATTCTGACAATGGCACCCCCGCCGTTGTCAGAACACAACATTCCAGTGGGAGATTTGTTGCATGGATGGAGGAATCTGTTATACCTTTTTTATTCAACCTGTGAGCTGAACTAAAACAAAATAGAAGTGTATTGGCAGCTTCAGAATATGGGTGCAACATGTGGAAAGCAACTAATACCACCAGGCTCTAGTATTTTCAAACATGTTTAGCAGAAAGAAGAGTGTGAAGAAAATAAAGAGTAATTCATATCTGACAATTATTACCCCTCAATACTTTAGGCAGCCAAGCAAAATGCGAGACAGCGATGAAGAAAATGACGAAGATGAAGACATAAATGCCAATTCTATTGGATGTCTTGGCCCATTCAGTGGACTGTTGGGCCCAGAGCTGCAGAGGTATCCGAAACAAATAAAAGGTAAGCTAAAATTCCAGTTTAACAATACAAGTTTTTACAGCCAACTGTTCCATACCACCAATATGTCAGTATAATGTCATTTTTACTGAAAAGGAAAACAAATGTTACCCAAAAATCTGTCCGTGTGTCTGTCTATCTATCTTTTTTGTATATATATGTGTGTGTGTGTGTGTGTGTGTGTGTGTGTGTATATAATATATATATACATATATACTTGGGAGATGCACTCCTTTGCCTTGCTTCTATATTGAGATGCACTCTATTGCCTTGTCTCTAGAAAGCTGCGCTCCATTGCCTTGCTTGTAGCAAGATGCGCTCCATTGCCTTGCTTGTAGCGAGATGCCCTCCATTGCCTTGCTTGTAGCGAGATGCCCTCCATTGCCTTGCTTGTAGCGAGCTTCACTCCATTGCCTTGCTTGTAGCAAGCTTCACTCCATTGCCTTGCTTGTAGCGAGATGCCTCCATTGCCTTGCTTGTAGTGAGATGCCGAGCTTGTAGCGAGATGCCCTCCATTGCCTTGCTTGTAGCGAGCTTCACTCCATTGCCTTGCTTGTAGCAAGCTTCACTCCATTGCCTTGCTTGTAGCGAGATGCCTCCATTGCCTTGCTTGTAGTGAGATGCCGTCATTGCCTTGCTTGTAGCGAGATGCCGTCATTGCCTTGCTTGTAGCGAGATGCCGTCATTGCCTTGCTTTTAGGGGCATACAACCCATTTCCTTCTTTCTAGCGAGATTTACTCAATTGCCTTGCTTCTAGTGGAATGCGCTTCATTGCCTTCTAGCGAGACGCACTCCATTCCATTCCTTCTAGCAGAGACTAAATGCTTATATAAAGGTACACACTTATTAACATGTATAGACTTTGACCCATAGCATCTTGCTAATCTCTTCACCTACATGACTGGATGATTCAGGTTTTGCCAGATGCTTCAAATGAACCTTGCCCTGTTTATCCCAAAATGCCTAAGGTCTTATTAAAGTTGCATGTTCTAACATCCACACCTTAGCATCATCTCTGATTTTTCAAGATCATAAAGAAGAGCAGAAGCTTGGCAACATTGCAGAGCTCAGCCCAGGGGCAATCGACTCCTGTCGTGGGGAATATCATGCTGTGTTCAATAGTATGATGATGGAGCGTATGACCACTGACATCAATGCTCTGAAACAGCAGTACTCCAGGATTAAGAAGAGGCAGCTGCAGCAAATCCACCAGGTCTACATAAGAGCAGGTAATATATTTAGTAGGCCTCTGCTCATTCCTCATAGTGAAGGACCTTGTAGAAATCTTATAGATCTCAGGAAATAACATCATAGTAGTACCAGTGACACAGAGACTATCTGCTTTTTTTTTTTTTTAATGAAACCCACTGTATGTTGGAATCGACTTTTGTCTTCAGTTTATACTTTTGGCAGTTGCCAACAGATTTTAATATCTGCTTGTGATTAAAAACAATGTTTTGGTAAAGACAAAATTACAACAAATAATGATATTGTATGAAACCGTTTTAAATTCTACCGCAGGATCACGAATACTTCACATATAAGTTTTGCCACTATTATGGTTGCGATGAACGCGCAAGTTATTTAGAAGGACCAAGTCAGTACAGCAATATTGTAAATGCTATTGCTGACTTGTTTTTGTAGGTACAAGATCCATGGCTTTCATCCTGATCCCAGCCTCACTGACTCTCAGGTCTGACACCTGTTACACGCATGCTTGTTCCAAGTCAGTGACTCATACTGGGGCAGCAATGATAACTATGACGCTGAGATCTTGCACCTTCAAAGATGAGACGGTAATGGCACCTTACATATTTCTATCCTGAGAGATTACTTTTAATGATTTGTGTATGTATGGTATATGTTTGCATTTATCCATACCTGCTAAACGAATGCCTTAAAATCAAACTGCCACCATGCACCTATTTCTTTTTTCCCATATTTGTTAATACGCATTGTATTTTTTTCTGTTAACTTAGGACCCGAAGAAGAAAGGGATCCTGGGATTGTGTTTGATCCCAGGGATCAGCTGAGTAATGGTATTTAATAAAAGTTCTATTTTCTGGGGGTTTTGTTTCCCGTTTCTAACATGCACGGTCATCCTTTTAATGGAGCATCTTGGTAATTGTTAACTGTAACAGAATACTCCATTTAGCCCATACATGAATGTATGTGTTCACGTACAGTGTACATAATCCTGTCTATACAGACCAACTGAATGATCAAATCAGTCTGGCTGTGAGTACCTGTACCGGCTAAGCCGAGTGACAGCAGTAGGTCATGTAGGAGTACTCTATCTCCTTCTTGGGTAACTACCTTTAGCTGACTAACATTCAGATGGTCTCATATTTCAAGTACATGTATTTAGACCAAGTAAATCAAGATATAGGGAGAACTTATTGCAGTCTCAAAAAATAGCCAAATCATCTTTATTGCATGGGGATCAGGGATGGGATCGAGGACTGGCTGCAGTTGTGGGATCCATAGACAAAGGACATTGGCTGATATGGTCAGTTTTGGTTGGACCAGACATAATTTATCACGTGAAGAAAGCAGCGGAACAACTTCTTCATGCTTTGGAAAGCGGGGGGTTTGAAGAGCATGCACACCAGGTAATTGTACAGTTGGCGGGCATGAATGTTCCCCAGCTGGATCTCACATGTACATCTAACCAGCAATGGAAATACCTGTGGCTAAAATTACGCATGTGATGTCACAGCCGCAACAAGTTCTTTGTGCGCTATGGGGATGTTTTATAAATCATCTGCTCACCCATGTGCTTGTCGAATGCCATTTGCATGGCATTCTCACTACTAAATGGAGCGGAGGAGCATAGGAAATTCCTATGCTCCTCAGCTCCATCTAGCGATGAGAATGCCATGTGAACGGCATTCGGCCAGCGTATGGCTGAGCGAATGATTTATAAATCATTTCCTATGTGTGCTTCATATGCCACCTATGGAATTCAGTGTGATTTACTGTGCTCTAGAAAACATGGCTGTTCATTTGTAACACTGAAGCTCCTTTAGGAATTACCGTGCATGTTTTATAGCAAATCATCCCTTTAAACCACTAAATCACTTACTGCTTCTTGCTTATATGTTTCTTTTCAAAACTTGTTACGTGGACATGCACAGTTTGAGTTGCGCAAAGGACAGCTGTTATGATAGAATTATGAAGGTTGCCACTGCTTACCTTGCCATTGGCACGTGCTCGTTTCCTGGCTGTCATGCTGATTCTTTATCTGTTTCTGATCAACTGATCTGGAACAAGAGATGAAGAACTTTGACACTCTTACTCTGTAGCTCAAAAATGTTGAAGCCAGGAACAGCCAGGCAAGTAGGATTTTTAGGAAGCCAGCAGTGGGAACCCCCATACCTATTTCATGACTAATTTAATGTACTTTAAATACAGTGTCTGGTTAAATATTAATGTCTGCCACAATGTTCCACTGATCGGTGATGGTTTCTCATTTTAAACAACTAATTGCAAACTTTTTAAATGTTGGATATCTTTCACATATATTGGTGAGTTCTTTCCTTTTCTTCAACACGGTGAAGTGCATCTAATCTGTTTAAGGTTCTACATAATCTATTTAAGACGATAAGAAGTGCTGCCTATGCTGCTATTAATGTATGTGATTAATAATGAAAGAATCTTGTCACTATAATTCGGTAAGAGTGTATTGTTTGTATCTGATAACAGTGACCTGTTATGAATGGGAGAAGGTAGGAAAGTATTTCCAAATGCAAGAATGAAAAATAAAGGATAGGTTTGGGTACTTTCAGTAAAAATATGAAAACCCCCCTCTACTGTTGGGCCGATGCTGAACAGCAAAAGTCACAATATTTGGACCACAGTGAAAGAACAATTCCAGGCAAAAGTGTTCTTACCCCTTGCAGTGGGGCTTCCTTCCGCAGCGCAAGGGTTAAGTGCTCATTTTTGTCTAGGTGCTAAAAAAAAAAAAAGGTTATACTCGCCCAAACCGCTGAGCCAGCTGCCTGCTTTTCCAGCCACTGAAGCCTCTCTTCTGCTACTCTGCAGCATTGGAATGTTCCTCAGTGTCCTCACTTCTATACACTCTATACAGAATTTGATGACTTGTGGGACTTTAGACCGCTGCAGTGGAGAGGGAGAGAGGCTCCAGGGACTGATCTAAGAGCAAGTCAGCTCGGAGGATCGGGTGAGTATAACCTTCTTTTTTTAAACTCTAGACAAAAATGAGCAGTTGACCCTTGCACTGCGGAGGAAGCCCCCTTTCAGGGATAATAAAAATTCTGCCCGGAGTTCTGCTTTGACCGTTGCTTTGGGAAATGGAAAAGCATCTGAGACTGCTAAAGTGCTTGCAGGGGCTTAGCTATTTTTTAACATGACATATCTCTTGTCTTATGAAACAAGTAAAAGCAGGGGGTTTCTGATACCAGGGAAAAGCTTTGCTGAAAATGGCAGAGCAGCTAAATATGCTCCAATAAGCTGGATTTGCTAGTGAAATAAGTGACTCATGGTTTAGCATGAACCCACAAGAGGGAGGGTTCAACACATTTTTGTTGAAAATGGAAAAGGCCTTAACAAATTTAGTCAAATACACACAGACTCTTACTGGGTTATATGAAAGGAGGTCGTCCAAATTAACAGTTTATCTAGTGTTGATGACTGAAACGGTACGTTTACTTTTGTAATATTTTTTTCTTTGTTGTAGATAAAGGGCCTGTGAGCAGCATTCTGCCATCTCAGGTTAATAATTCCCCTGTTATAAACCACCTGTTACTTGGCAAGAAGTTGAAGCAAGTAAACAGGTCTTCTAAGAACACTGCCATCCAGTTACCAGCCTCCAAGTCTATGATCTTACCCAATGAAGAAGCTAAAGGCAAGCTAAATTCTCCATGGCGAACCCACATCAGAGTTCATAGAAAGAACATTGCAAGGGCAAAAGGTCAGCTTGGCTACGGGGATACAATTGGGCTTATAGAAGAGCAAAATGAAGTCCCGAAAGATCAGACTGATGCTGCCAAAGAAAGCGAGGACATTGTAGAGAATGCTGACTCAGTAGCAGGTGATGTAAATGGTTCAGACAGGACAGTTATGAAGGCTGATGGACACTCTCCAGAGCCTGTTTTCCAGGATGAAAATGCAAATGTGACTGTTGTACAGAGCAAACTAGAAGCACTGGAGCTGACCTCCACTGACGAAACTAAAGACATGTCTGACAAAAGCCAGTCTGTTCAAGAAACACCTTCTGATTCTCCCAGCTCCTCCATGGAAAGTGGAACTTTATCAAAATCTCCAAGGGGACATGTTTTCACTCCTTTCCCAAGTGTTAAGCCGCTAAGAAAATCTGCTGCTGCTAGAAACCTGGGGTTATATGGGCCACACAATAGAACCCCAACTGTAAATTTCCCACATATGAGCAGAAGCTTCAACAAGCCTGCCAATGGCATTACAGGGAGCAAGAAACGATAGCTCAACATTAGCACTTTATTTCTGAAAAGACTCTTTTCTGATTTGATTTCCTCCCATGTTCTGCCATTGCTTTCATGAAAAAAGTGTCAAGGATGGAGTTTTTGAAAATGTACAGATTCGTGCTCTGGTGTTAAAGGTGGTCCTGTAGTGTGGTACAAGTCTAGAAAAATGCCTCTAGATTTTGGATAACAATGTGGTGTCTGTTTAATTATTTATCATCGATTAATGATGCTAATTGACTTTTAATTTATTTAACTGTTTCTCTGCATACAGATTCTGCAGTCATTTCACTGTTTGCTTAGAGTGCTAAAAGCCAATTAGTCTTTACTCACTGGTGAAAAGTTCTAGGGAAGTTAGGACTGTGGTGTCGGGTTGTGAGAATTTTACAGTGCAATGCAAAGGAATTCACAGACACAGCTTTAGGGCCTAGTTACCCGGTGGTTTGTTGTTGTGCAGCCACATCTTCGCAATTATTAATGTCACTTGTGATTTCAGCTGGAGTTATTGCACAGACGTATAGAGTAAATACGAAGCATCTCTTGAACTGGCATATCAGTTAATTACAAGTCTATGGAGGTGATTTATTGTGAAAGGATTCTATCACTTGGCTAAATTTCAATACAACCATACGGTCATTCACTGCAATTGTAAAACTCACGCATGAGGTCAAGTTTGAAGTTCTAAATAGAGTAACTGATTGTGCTCAAGACTGGCCAGTCTGTGTAACTCAGCACTTAAAGGTTGCTTCTTCATGTAATCATCACCCAACAAACTCTTAAGTTCATACACTCTAAAGAAGTATTATCAGAAATATTAGAAGTTAACAGAATGTGCTGTTTTGCCAAGATCAGTTCCGAGTGCCAAATTTCAGCGCATGCATAGACTAAGGGATACTTTGCATTAAACCTGTAGCACCTTAATTATAAACTGTTGTGATTGGACCCAAAATAATGATTGCAGTGTGACACAGCAGCTAAATACATATATATTATTGAGTACTGTGTATTTTGCCATGTGGCTATGCAAATTAGTTTAATTAGAATTATCCCAAGATGACCTAACTTTTTTTTTCTTTAAAGGTTTGTACAGTTGCATGGAAATTACCACAGTTTATATTGGGCAAGGCCTGGAAACTGCATTTATTTAAAAACCGAAGGAGTCATTTCCACCTGAATGCTCAAGTTTTGCATGCTTTGATTTGCATCTTGCGTTGCCTTGTTCTTCAGCTGTGTTTTTTTCTAGAATTTAGATTATTGACTATGTTGACTGTCTTTGTTATGTTAGAAAGCTCTCATCTAGAGAAAACTATTTTACTTTAAGTCTTTATGTGTGAAATGTCTTTTCATTTATTTGTTTTGTTGTTTCCCAAATATCACGTATTCATAAAGTGCCAGATAGCAGGGATTCTCTAAAATGGAAACACTGCAAAGTGAAAGTTAAACATGTTGTGGTATTTGATAGCTTTCTTTTTTCAGTAATAAAGATCTAAAATGCATTGCATAATGTGTCACTTTATTGGCGCTCGTCTTGTCCATTTTGGTACATGTAAAATGATCAGAACATTTCTGCTATTTCTAGCTGATTAAACCAGTAAAAGACTGCGCTCTTCCCAAAACTAACCCCCCACAATCAATCTAACCTAATACAAAGCGGCTGTAATAATATGTCTAAGGTATTCAAATAAATTCTATATTAAAATACAGCGTTCAGATACTCACCCCTAAGTCAATTGTTAAAATGATACTAAACTCTGGAATTAAACCTTAAAAATGCATTCATGTACCTTTTAACTATTAACAAAAATTTATCTTATTTGTGTATCACTCAGATGTAGATCCTCAAATCATCTCTCTGAATTCATGCTGACACTGTCTTTCCTTCTGGAGGGGGACTACTTTTGCTCCCTGTGTCCCTGTGTGTGTTGTAAAGTAGCCACCGCTCCAAGCTCAATCTCGTGATAGACTGTAATTTCAATACAAATTAGCAAACAAAACATGAGATTGTAGTCCATCATAGGAAGAAGCTTGGAGCGATGGCTACTTTACAACACCCACAGAAGGAACATGGTGAAGAAAAGTAGCCCCCCTCCAGAAGGAAGGACAGTGTCAGCACCATTTCAGAGATGATTTGAGGATCTACAGCCGAGTGATACACAAATAAGATACATTATTGTTAATAGTTGAGGTACTTCAAAATGTATGTTTAAAGGAGAACTATGAGATGAGTGATTTCCACTCACCTCATAGTTCTAGCCAACCTGTGACAATGAGACCGTCACAGGTCGGCTCAGTAGATCGGGAGGTGAGCGAACACATACCAGGTTCGCTCACCTCTCGATCCTGTCACGGCTCTCTGCCGTGACAGGGGGAGGGGCTGGATTCCCCTCTCCCCACTCCGATCTGCCAGCGCTGACTGGCGGAACGGACGGTGGAGGGGGCGGGTACAGCTGGCTCTGCCTCTAGATAGGCAGAGCCAGCTGTCACTCACGCAGCTGGGCGGATCAGTATCGCGGTATACTGAGCTTAGGGTAACGGGAGGACGCTAGTTTGTGTCCTCCCGTTACCCTAAGGAGAACTATGGGTAAAAACACTGACCCCATAGTTCTTCTTTAAGAAATAACACCAGAGTTTAGTGTCACTTTAAATAAATATCAAACAAATATCTCAAAGTTCAAACAGTGCAAAATAACAATAACATCAAAGTGTGAAGTATATAAACATTTAACGTATTAAATTGTGTCCCACCACCATTATCCGTGCTGTTTTCAACCACAACATGTATACGGATCCTACCGCACTCCTTACCAGACTCCCCTTCTTTTAGGAAGTTGGTGCGGAAGTGACAGTGGATGGTGCCGCACAAATCACATGAAAAAACAAGAACGTCACCAGCACACCATAGTAATGTGTCCAAAAGTACGTCTTCTTTATTTACGCATATTGTCACATATGCAGCGCAACGTTTCAGGGCTACATAGTGGTTCTGAGATGTTTCACTGTTTGTGTAACATTATGGGGTTGATTTACTAACCTCACAAACACGCCACAAACACCCCATGCAAAAACACGCCGATTGCGCGTGCGCGTATACGCTTTGCGCGGAAGCGTATGCAGGTTATAAAGATGCTTGATAAATACTACCAACGCGCGCGCATGGCGTGTTGAAATGCCGAGGATACAATAGGGATGTGCAACAACCAACAAAAACAGCAAAGGGAAGCCCAGTGGCTGAGCGGTTAGAGGACATGCCACACAACACCTATTTCCCCGGTTCAAATCCTGCATCAAGTGAGTGGAATTAATCCACATATTCCAAGGAATGTAATTCTTGGGAAAATGTTGGAGGCTATAGGTACTTCAAATGTACCTTTGGAATGAGGATTGAGCAAT